ACACATTTTATGAGCACGTGGTAACCCAATACATAAAAAATATATTTCTGTAATATATTTTCGCTATCACTTTCCATTATTCATCCCAGTACTTAATATATTTCATATTTTACGCTAACTAATATACGATATTGTATTTATATCCAAGATAGATAAATTTATTGTAACTAGGACAAGGATAACATACGTGTAACGTAATATCTATTTTATCTCATTGGGGTGAATCGCTAGACAAAAAAATAAAAATAAAATAAAAAATCCCGTTGGAGCTTTGCCCTAAAAGGAATTCTTTCCTCGGAGCCCAAATCCTACCCATTATATTTGACACTTGACAAAAGGATTACGATCGACGTGTCCATCTACCTGCTCCAGAGTGTCCTCGCGTGCTTGCTGTCATTGATTCTTCTCTCGATATATACACTTTGGAAACATATTGGAAGGGGAGCAGGAGGAGCATGAACAAGGGGGTGGAGGGGGTTTAGGAGGTGTTCCCGTGTGTGTGCGTGTGTGTTGCTCAGGAAGGGTGGTGGTGATGCATGGCTCTTGTAGTCCATCATAATCTTTCCTACTCCTCTAATATGAGCCAATTCATTATTTTGAGTGCGAAAATACACATGCACGCGTAAACATGTATATCTCTCTCTCTCGCTTTAAATTATTGCACTCCTTCCTTCTCTACCCTTAATTCCGAACTACTATATAAATAAACAAGATTAAACAAAAGATAACCAATAAAAAATTCTTTACGTAGAGTGAATATCTAAACTTGGCAACCATAGTCACTCCAGGACCCCTAATTGGCCACTTACCTTCGGTCATTAAGGTACATGTATACCTGTAAATAATCGCCCCGCCATACTCGACTACTTCCATATTTTTTAATAAGGGTTCCGAGTCGAATGGAGATCTTATAGTTCCCCATTATTAATAGACCCCAACCTGATCGAATCATCTAATCATTAAATCTGAGGCTTATTAGGAATGAAGTCCATTAAAACTGGGGGGCCATTAGAATTGGGGGCCAGTAAGACATATAGGCACATAGAGAATTGACGACCATTAAGATTGTCTAGGTAATGTTAGGTTGGTCTACTTAAGTTTAGTTTAGGTTTGATTAAATTAGTTTATTTTAGGTTAGATTTGTTTAGGGGTCCATTAGAATTGGGGCCCAACCGGCCAGTCACCCTCTTAACAAGAACCCATCGTTAAATTGGGTCGTAACTCGCCCAGTCAGACCCATACCACACGCTTCTCTTATCCCGATCCCCGGCTCATCGACTTTCGTACAGTACATATATATATAAAAAAAACAGTAGATGTATGGTTGTGTTTGTGATCGGTTTGGCTGACTAGCTGGTGTACTGGTTTGACTGACTATAGATTTAGTGAAGAGTGTATTGTAATTGGTGGACTGGTTGACTGGCACCTACAGGTATGTCGATAATTGACTGGTGCAACATCAAAAGACATAAAAATACTCAGATTAAAAAAAAAATATGTAAACAAATATAAGGGAATTTTAATGTAAATATAAACAGCACCGAATATTGACGTACAAGGACAGCAAAATAAATGTTTGCGATTTAGGAAGTTTACTGAGCCATTATACAGTCTCTTGGTCATTCTTGGAAACCCTTGACAACCCTAGAAAGGCAGATTGTGGTCACAGAATTCTTACGGCAGTCTGGAAGTGCAGTTTGTAGTTCTGAGAATACTTTAAAAATTATGGAAAGGCAATGAATGATGTTGGAAAACCTTTGACAGTTCCCGAAAGGGCAGTTGGTTGTCTTGGAGTGCCAGGTGGCGTGTGAAGAGGTAATTTATCAACATCGTCCAGAGCCTCGCCTAAGTCTTCTCCTGTACGGGTTAGCTCAGGATAGAACCCTCGACTGACTATGGGGGAAATAGTTATTGAAATAGAACATTCACGTGTTACGGAGGGACTGTGTTGACTAGAGAAATATAAACTTATAAAAGAGGTGTTTTATCTGTTAAAGAAGGTGTGTAAAAGTATAATCATATTAAGTGTGTGTGTGTGTGTGTTTAATGTGCATATCACCAATAGAATATTGTTCAATAAATCAAAGTTGAAGTCCTATCAGAAGCCATATTTTTTTTCTATAAATACTATATGACGTTTGTTAACACCTCCCGTGAGTGAGAAGTCCGTCTTGATACAGGTAGTCGCTTAATGGTTAGCTGGTGATGAATAATGCTGGCTGCGACCTAGGTGAGGGGGTCGTCGTTATGGGTCATTATTTGTGCTATGCACAGATGACCGCTGGCAGGGGTTGGCCTGTGTATTCCTGTCATATTTTATGGTCGCCCTTGACATATAGAAGGAAGGTCGGATGGTCTTTTTGTGTCGGTAATGAACTTCCAGGGAGGCAACACTCGTCTATTCCTCCGCCACAAATTTAATATGATTGTTGCCTTTAGTTGTTCGCTCACCACTCAAAAGTGTTCACGATACAAAAGACAGCGCGGGTATGTATGCTGTCTGGGGAGTTTCTTAAATTGAATAAAAATTGCCTTCGTAAGAAGTTCTGAGAATTGCTATTCAGGAAAAGGTGTCCTCGCTGGAGTTGCATGGAACGAATCACTCAAAACGTTGTTCAGGAACGTACGAAGTCGTGTGCAAATTTAATGTGACTGGTATTAGTGTTTGCTTTTATGTTTTGTGTACAAAATAATGACAATGATGCACAATATACAGTACAATGTATTTTGATCGTCAGAAGTGTTTATTGTCATCATTAAGAATGTGTTGTACATGTCCTTTACTGATGTTTATGAATTAATAAAAGGGATTTACTCATTATTCCACTCGCGCCTTAAACAAATGAACAACGAACGATGGTTACGTTTTAGAAATGCAAAGGTGAAACTCTTCATTATATACTGCTGTGGGCTGTTGAAGAATCACTTATAGCTCCAGACTTCAGTGTTATTTACATCTCTCTAATTCCTTAGTGTGTGAAGGACAACACATGTTCCAGGGTAATTGTCCTTCATTTAAAGCAGTCGCCTCACTTGCTCGTCGTACTGTCAACCTCTCAAAATTTACTAGCGTCATTTTTATGAGAAATTGGTCATAGTTTTCTCTGATAATAAAAATATAGCAATTTTATAGAAGTGAAAATAAAAATATATAAAATTATAATTAGAAAAATAATATTTTTAGATTGCCCCGGAGGGGGCTAGTTTATTGGGCACTCCCTTACATCCTGTGCAAGGTGAAGCGCAGAAGCGTTTACAGCGCCCATCTACTGGCCAAATCCACTTCTGGCCAGACCCACTACTGGTCAAATCCACTACTGGCCAGACCCACTACTGGTCAAATCCACTACTGGCCAGACCCACTACTGCCCAAATCCACTACCGGCCAGACCCACTACCGGCCAAATCCACTACTGGCCAGACCCACTACTGGCCAAATCCACTTCTGCCCAGACCCACTTCTGGCCAGACCCTCCACTGCCCAGACCCACTCCTGGCCAGAACCACTACTGGCCAAATCCACTACTGGCCAAACCCTCTACTGGCCAGTCCCACTACTGGCCAGTCCCACTACTGACCAAATGAAATAAAATTGGTCGATGAAAGCGAGAGAAAACATTCCAATAATTTTCATGGCGATAATTTTCTTCTTGACCATTCTGGTAGAGCTGTGATGAATGGCAGTCACAACTCAATATTTATTCCGATAAATGTTTTTATTGTATATCAGCCGCTTGTCAGTGAATTTGCTTTGATATGGAAGCCACAAGGGTTCACTCACCTACAGTTCCTCGAGGTGTTTCTGAGTGCTTGTAAACAAACCGCCCTCCTCCACTAAATTAATCACTATTAATAACAACCACGACAGTGTTGGATGAGAGATTTTTAATGCCTTTACAAATAGTAAATAATGATACCAAGGATAAAAGTATTGGTACTAATTCAACTGCTGCTTGGTAATTTATATAATAATGATATTAATAATAATGCAAATAACTATAAGAATAGTGATAATAAGAATGATAATCATAAATATATATATACAGGTAGTTTTATTTCAATCACAAGAACCAAGTATAGTATGGCCTATGTTAATGCCTCTCACCACCCTGTTAGTTTGCTCTGAATATACAGTATTGTACATAAATCAATACCCAGTATGTAGTTGAATAGATATGAAAGTTCTTAAACTAGCAGTGCTATATGATTTAAACTCTTCTATACAACTACTCTATTCTTTACCTTGTGTCTATGAACCCCAGTGTTGACTTGTTATTAGTGAGTTTATCTTTTACAGACTTAAGTACAGTAATGTATAGTTCAATCCTCCCCCCCCCCCGGCCCTGATGTGGGTCTGACCTGTGCCTAGGTGGGCTAATCCTCATAAAATAAAATAAAAACATAAATATGTATTTCACCTTGTCTTCATCACTATGACTCCTACCACAGATCAGTGAAGACTAGTGTAAAGAATGGGGTGGTGATTGGGGCACCACAGCAATACTGTCACTGGTGCCGCAGGACGTCTAAACTATAGGGTAAACAACAAGATGCTACCTCCTCACCTGGCCTCGAGTAACTTACACAACCTCACGAGATACTAATCCTTTTTCAGTAGTTCCAGATTTTGCGAGTGTGATGCTCTACTAAAGTCATGTTGGAAAAATCCATCAATCTCTACCCAGACGAAGAACAGATGAGGCAAGCCATTCTCCCAGTCAGGCTCAGAGTCTGCATAGCTTCACAGATTACCATCTTTCTTATCATTGGCCACTACACTTTGTGAGCTAGTGGTTAAATTTTTTATGGAACTGATTCTGCTCTGGCATTCTAGCAGTAGTCAGGAACACACTAAATGGGATGCTGCAGCAACCCCATCTTCCAGAATACCCCATCAAAGGACCACAAGCAGTCCTACTGGTGCATGTACTGTGTATCTTTATAATCATGATACATGTATAAAATAGGTGTCTAATTAATTGTGCATCTCTATCCCTCAGGGAGACACAGTGAGAGTTTTGTGGTCATACGATGAGGAGGATCCCACCACCAGCGACCGTCTGGCCAGGCACGACCACTGGGGTTCCCGCAGCCTCTACCTGCGGGACCCTCACCTGGCTGCACGCCTCCCTCCCCCCGCTCACCTCCAGTTCTGGGACGTTCTATCCCCTCAAGTAGGTAGTTAAGTGAGTGCATATGTGTGTGTGTGTGTGTGTGTGTGTCAATACTTTCGAGTTAGCTTGATTGCATACCGAGACAAACAAGCGCCAACGTCGGAAACACGCTGCTGCTGTCCTTCCCGCACTAGATGTAGCCCTCCACACGTGCAACATCTGTGGACGGCCCTGTCGGTCCTGTATCGGCCTCTCGAGTCACCTCAGAGCTCACCAACGAAGGTGACATCCTTAATAACTCGTATCATTGTATCATAGCAGGATGATCATCATACTCGATTCCGAGTGACAACAAAGTATTGTGTGTGTGTATACACTACAGGTGCAAGTGACAATCACTAACTCACTGTTGGAGAAAAATATTTTCTTCTTAGAGCTCTGTATGAAGAACTTGTACATATTATATAAGACTGTTGGTGTACTTCTATTTTTTTACTCTTATCTTCTTCGCCACTGATCGGCTCGTTAGCCACTTGGGCGGTCGGTCACCTCTCTGTTACACACTATTGGCAAGTACAGGGAGTTCTGCTATAACGCGTGTTTTGATAACGCGAATTTGCTCTAACGCGATTTATGAATTCGGAACAATATTTGTATAACGCGAACGCTTGTTTGCTATAACGCGATTTTTGCTTACTATTTCTCCAATTTTGTGGTATTAACTGTGAATATGGTAAAGAAGAATATCTCCAAAAGGCGCTCTGATGATAGAATTCCCGGTGATTATCGTAAAAGAAAGGATATAACACTTGAAGAGAAGCTCAATGTTATCAACCTCAAAATCACCCTTCTCCCCCATCAAGTTACATTCATATTTTTTCAAGGTAAAGTGTTAAATTTACTGTACAGTATGATTTCATTATTAGATATGAATGTAACATTTATTTAGACTGTGCTATCCTTTGTGTTAGGCTAAATACTAAATTTTTTCGATTTCGAGTAATCTGCACCTAACCCTATTTTCTCCATAAGCCCTGTTATTTCTATTACGCGATTTTCTATAACACGATATTTTACAAGAACACAATTATCGCGTTATAGCAGAACTACCTGTACTGGGCATGCACTGGCTCCTGAATGTACCGGGTATTTGAACCTGCTCCAGTGTTCATCAAGACTGGTCTTGAAAGAGCTCACACTCAGTTCCATCATAACACTCTCGGGCAGATTGTTCCAAGAGTTCATAATTTGTAATTGTTGATTACTAGTGAAATGGCTAGTAACAGTATACAGTACATGCTTAGAGACTTAAGCTGTTGAGGTGTTGTAATGCATTATACTGTAACATCCACATGTAGACAGATAATTAATCAAATTTTAGCTGTGGCAGTTTGAACCTTGTCTGCTTATGTATCATATAAGGCTTGATTTTTCACTATGTATAATTGTACACACAAAACACCTCCAAACATGAAATACTGTACGAGTACATTCACCACATCTTTTCCAAAATAACCGTTCCTTTCACTATGTAGGCCACATGTTCTAAATTGGACTTATACATTATAGGTATTGATGTACATAATATGTACTGTATTGATATACGGATTGTAAATGTCATTTTAAGTTTTTTTACTGTATCTGGATCAGCTGTATGCACTTTATGTACAAGGTTGTCTGGTCGACAAGTATGATGGAACAGTTCATCAGTACACTGCACAGCTGAAAAAACCCTATTAATTCCTTTTAAGGCTAGTATAGTAGCTTCTCACGATTGTTATTGGATAATGTGTGGTAAAGGTCCCATTTATTTTCAGTGGTGAATGCCAGAATCCTTCTTACACAATGGAGATGTGACTGATTTTATATGAGGATTTTGAAATCTAACTTCCTTTGGTTTTACTGTATTTTATTGTGTTGTAGGTTCGACTGCCTGATGGTCTGCCCACACTGTACTGGTGTAAACTCTACAAGATCCCTAACCTCACCACCAAGACTCACATCATTGGGGTAATTACATACAGTACTTCTACCACACTGCATTTTGAAAGAATTTCTTATTACAGTAAATAGCCAAATAATGTGTTCTGTTGTGTGTCAATGTAAATTCATGTTCCTATTATGATGAGATACCTGTAGAGTGATGTACCTGCCAAACATCTTTATAACAGTAGTATGAGTAATGGGAATATTAACTTGAGCATGCATGTAAAACCAATAATTAATTGCAGTATTTCCATGTCCGTTTTTACACTCTCATCTTATTTTTTTGGATTTGGTCATGGTAGCTTTGGTTTAAAATTATGCAGTACAGTAAAGGATTCAAAATTTTATCCTTGTTTTCCTTGGTCTTAATTCATGACTCCCATTTAACTGCTACAGAAAATCGTAATCTTTAACTCTATACAAACCTTTTGTGTTCCTCCAGTACATACCATTGATAGAACAACAGAACCTGCAACACGTCCACCACATGCTGCTGTACGAGTGTCACCTCCCAAACTCTGACAGATACCTGGAGATGTTTGTGGAAGCGAAGGGTGCTCAGTGTTATGACCAAAACATGCCTTTGTCGTGGTCAGCATGCAACACCCCAATTGTTGCCTGGGGTATTGGATCAGAAGGTAAGAAAAGTTCACCATTATTAAAACGTTTTATGATGTCTGGATACTTTCATCGTATCTTCACTAGTTTAACACAATGACCCAAGTGTTCGGCTGTTTAGGTATGATATACAGTATAAAAATTACATCAATATATGTGATGTTAATCATAAAAGCCACATTCAGAATAGTGGCAAGAACAGGTGTATCCCCAAAACCGACGTCCTATTGACTGCCGATTCGCATAACCGACGATTACATACAGTATACTAGAGGAAATATCCCGTAAGATTCGTTGATACCCCGGAGATTCGACAATCGGGAGAGGAGTGGCAGAGCTGTTTTGAACTTAGTGGTCGGTGGCAAGGTGTGAATTCTTGCCACCATACGGCTTTGCTCACTGTCCTGACTTATTCCTATCATCTTTGCTCCTGTGTACACTTACTGTGTGTCTCTGACTTCGTGTTTTGTTTTGTTTTTGACTTGGTGTGTTACTCAATCAAGCCTAAACGTCCCAGTGGTAGTTCCTTTTGTGCTAGGCAACTTAATGTGATGTGAGAAAGCATAATAAGACATAATAATAGTAGTTAGACCAGCAAAGAGTGGTAGAGACTTGAACTTGCCACCCTAGATTGTCTCTACCATCCTCAACACAGGTAAACAACAGTCTCAATTTGTGCTTTACATTGCTCTTTTAAGGCTAATTATGCTTGTTTTATGTCTGCTTTATTTTCTTGCTTGACAGTGTGCATGACATGGTTATACCAAGGGTAGATGGGAGTTAATGGAAGGTGGCTGGTCCCTAACCCCCTGAATTTGAATTAGTTATGTTCTTATGGGATTAATTGCTTCGATTACCGTTGATTTACTAGCCAACGACTTTTCCCGGTCTCTATATGCATCGATTATCGGGGTACACCTTTAATTTGTTCATCACAATTGAACGAATAACAATGTCTATTCAGCACTGGAAAGCTTAAAAGACTTAAGATTGACGAGTATTAGTTTCAGCTCGGCATTCTTAATACTGTATACTGTACTGTAATTTCACATTTCTACCATTATTTATGAAATCACATATGTGTGTCCTTAACCAAGAGTAAATTTTCTATTCCAATCTTGTCAGTTTTAAAATTATAAATTGAGATTGTTTTTTTACCACGTTCATGTATAATTTTCTAAAAGACTGTTAAGGCTGAGTACTGTGGAGTACTTATGGTAAACTGAGTCATCAATATTGTGTTACAGGTGAGATGTACCCAGAGCATGTGGGCGTCCCCCTTGGAGAGGAACATGGAGGTGCCACGTACTTCATGCTTGAAATTCACTATGATAACCCAAACCTCAGGACAGGTAAGGTACTGGTCAGTAGTTTAGTAGTTTTAGATATGCCCTTTATGTATAGTATATATCTAGAATTCTAGATCATAGAATTTAACTTGTAGTTTCTTGTCCCCCTGTCTCTTTAACTTTGACGGACATGCAAAGGAACTTGGGATGAATCTTCTCATCACATTAACCCTATAAAGGGCAAGACCCTAAATATATTAGATATCAAAAAACCTTCTTATTATTTAAAACTTCAAGGGTTTAAGATATTTCTTTTTTTGTTGATTTATTAAATTTAATTTTTTTCATGGGTCAAAAGTTGCCTGGGAAAAAAATGTCCCTGCTCATCCCTTAAGGGCTCTTTTGCCCATTATAGGGTATAATTTTTGTGTGTATTTTTTTTTAAGTACCTTCAGGTTCTTCAACATTTACTTCTAGTGACTTATACTGTAATACCACTGTGATTCACATACAGGTATAGTATAAAAATACAGGTTACAAACCAAATTGGCCTGTTATTTTTTATTTCTTCATTCATATTCAAAATTCATTAAAAATACTTGACATGGTGATGAGAAACTCCTTTTTCATAATGATATTCAGTAGCCGCTTCTTCTACTTAAATGACATTTTTGGAGTACAGTACAGCTTCAGTATCTTGTCAACCCAGGGCCGGATTCAGGAGTGGGCAAAGTGGGCAGCTGCCCAGGGGCCTCCACATATTGCAATATTTTATTTATTTGTTTATTCATTTGGATTATTTTTATTTTCATTCTTTAAAATTCATGCTTATCTATTCCATCACGTAAAACTATGTTCAGCAAGAAGCGTGATAGAAATTAGGCTAGCTACTCCATGAAATTCATGAATACCTGGTTTTCCTATGAATCGTATATTTTTAATGAATGCTATTGTTTGTGTTGCTAATAATTTATTTAGAATTCCACAAACTATATTGATTAAAAATGAACTACAGTGAACCCCTTTACTCGGTCAATTGAACCCACGGAGCCCCGCGTAAAGCGAGAAACAAAAGCATAAAGTGAACAACATAACATATGGGATTAATTGAAATAGAGACTGGGCCGACCCCCAAAATCCACTTTTTCCAGACACAATACCTATGTTCTAGTAAAAATAACATCTTAATTTTATGTTGGTACACACACACAATTAATATTTAAGAGAAATACAGCCGCCAAGTTAATGTCCATTCAAATAATGGACTCAACTCCCCTCTTCCCTGCTGGCTCCTCCCTCTCTGAGAAATGTTTGGGTGAAAACACTAGATTTTAAGGTATAGTAATAAATAATACCTCAAACTAAAGTTAGGATAATATAATTGACATTACTGGATTCCTTGCAAGACCAGGTATATTTTGAATATATACATGTCATATATTTTGCACAAAAGATAACATATTTGCTCTGAGTAAACAAAATACTTACATTAGATCTAAAATTTGTATGTCTAATGCAAAATCTATGATGTTTATATTCAAAATGATCATCAAATTGTAAGAATTCCATCAATGTAAATTATATTCTGGCCGGGTAATTTGTATGAATTTTATGAGCTAAATAAAAAAATTATACTTCACCCGTGTATATGAGTAGATGCACCGCGTAAAGTAGGAATTCCGGTTCTGGCAGGGTACCGTACGCGTAAAAAAAACCCCGTAAAGTGGGGTATTACTGTACATGGAATAACGAAATTGAGATTAAAAAAATAAACAAATAAAGTATTTTTTCATTATCACTTCCATTACGAATGCCATCAGGGCGCTGTGTTTGTTGACAGTCGGTTGGAGGGGATTGGGGTTTAGGCTCCCTTCACTCGCCACCCCACCCTCTTGGGTAGTTATAATGAGGGGGGCCTCCACAAAGAGGCTGCCCATGGGCCTGCACAGGTCTAAATCCGGAACAGTGTCAACGTTTCTGCCAGGAAGGTTAGCTGATAGTTTACCCTCACATTACATATCAGCTCCTGCAGAAAATCATGACAGACAAGATAAAGGATTTGAAAATGGATAAATCTTCTTGAATTAGGCAATGTCATGAGGGGTTTGGAGACACGGTTTGAGAAACTTTTGGCCCTCTTCAGTTTTAGCCGTAAGGTTAAAAAAAAAAAGATGATGAGCCAATACAGCATAAACAAACCCATGTGGTCACTCATGAACTTTGCCTCTTTGAAATGTAATTGATGATTTTGCCAGGCAGTGATAACTTTGTTTTAATGTTATTCATTTATAATTTGTACTGTATTGTATCATGATTATGTAGTCTCCTTCACTAGTGCATTTACAGGGGCTTATCAGGTTTTGTGCTTTGTGGCAACCCTGTGTTTGTTTATATTCGACAGAAAGAAACTCACAATAGTAAACATACTATAGAATCAAATTAAAACAATACTAGTGAAGTAGACTGTACATGATCTTCCATATATTTTTATACACACTAATTTAAATTTTCAAAAAAAGATATGGAAATTATAGCCAAATTGAGCAGTTATCCCTATTTAACAAAATAGGTCCTGTACATATGGTACTGTGCAGTATGTGAATTTTTTTCTGTTCTTCCATACCTTGCTATAATGCAGGGTCGCCTGGCAGCTGCTGATCCCATGACTTGCAGCTTCCAGCTGCTTGTGGTTTACCCCACGTTCTTGGGAGGATGTTGTAGTCAAGATCAGTCACACCATCATTGTAGTGTAATTAATCCACATTCTCTAATTGTGTATTTCAATCTGTGTTTGGACTTTAAATTCCTCAGGTGTTGTGGACAGTTCTGGAGTGCGTATCCTGTATACTCAGAAATTACGACAGTATGATGCAGGAATCTTAACGTTGGGACATACAGTATCTCCAACACACATCATCCCACCTGCTCAGAACTGGAACACTGTTGCCCATTGCACTGCAGCTTGTACAGAGAAAGTATGTACAGTACAGTAGTACTGTATAATTATGTAATCACTTACAATTCAGTGACTTGGCTAGATATACTTGCAAATCAAATTTCTTATTACAAAATTACAACATAGAAATAAAGGTAAAATGAATGTCTGTAATTAGTACAGTAATAGATCAATACACAGTACAGGTTGAACAAACTTAACTGCTAGATTCAAGATCAGAGTCAATTCATAATAACTTTAAATTATTTTTTTTATGGATTTCAGACATTGCCAGATACTGGGATAAAGGTATTTCAAGGATTCCTTCATGCTCATCTTCTTGGTTCATCCATCTCCATACAACAAATTCGAAATGGATATGAGTTGCCAACGGTCATCAAGGGTAAGCCATTCATATTAGATTGAAAGTTTAATTTTACTCTTTTGTTTTATGACTTTATAAAACATGAGTTGCTTTGAAGAAACATTGAGTAATCTCAGGTTTTAGTTAATAATGCATTAGACATGTAACTTAATTTATGTTTTTGCAAAACTAAAATCCCTCCATTGTAGATTAATTCAGCAAACAGTTAGTCTGAAAGTCAAAATTCTGTATTGGAGTGACATTCCTTTACATCGAGTTATTTTCCCAAATAAACTAAAACACACAATTACTGTACTCGCCAAACATGTAAAAGATGATAATAAGTTGTGGAAGTTCTGTTTGTTTTGTTGATTATCATAAAACCATAAGAATGCAACAGGCCTGTTGGCCCATACTGGACACACCCGTTTACACCCAACCGCTATCGCTCATATATCCGTCCAACCTATATTTGAAGCTACTCAGCGTGTTTGAGTCTATGATGAAGTTTGGTAACTTGTTCCACTCATCGACTACGTATTTCCAAACCAGTGTTTACCTATCTCGCACCTAAATCTAAATTTGTTTAATTTAAATCATTGCTACAAGTTTGCTCCTGATTGGAAAGTTTAAGTACATTTGTTATATCACCTTTGTTTCTTGGGGGGAGTGCAAATTCAGATGCTTTAATCTGACTCTATACTCAAGGTTCCTAATGTCCAGGATTACTCTCGTCATCCTCCTACCTATGCTTTCTAGATTCAATATCCATTCTGTAGTACGGTGACCAAAAGTGAACTGCATAATCCAAGTGTGGTCTCACAAGTGCAAGATATAGTTTTAGGATAACCTCAATAGTCTTGTAACTAACACTCCTTTGTATGAACCCAAGTACTTTGTTACCCTTGTTTCCCTATATCAAAACATTGTTCATCTGATATCTGGTTTCTCTGTTTATGTCTCCCAGGCTAAGTACTCTACATTTGTCCACATTAAATTTCATCTGCCATTTTTCAGACCATGCAAAAATTTTTTTTAGATCTTCCTGTAGTTTTGTGGAATCCTCATCAGATTTAACTACATGCCTTATTTTAATGTCATAAGCAATCTAAACAATTTTGTCAATCATGTGTCATATCCAACATATCTTTCTGGACACACACTAGACCTATTTTTTTCTCCTGCTGATTGTGATGGTGTATTAGATGTTGAAGTTGACCTGTTTGGTCCGGCAGTCTCTAACCATGCTTTGGCTACTTTTGGTTTAATGTCTCAAAACCTCCTCCTTACCATAAAGCAATTACCTTCAGGAACTATAGAAACATTGACCAGGAAGCAGATCATTCTTTGAACTAGGTCACTTCCTCTGTTTTGTCCTCAGAGAAGATGGTTAAATTACTTAATGAGTTCTTCCAGTCCATTTCAGACCATTATTTTCCAGAGGTCATAAAGTGAATTACAATACGAGATGACTTTCCTTGGTATGACTCGTCTATAAGTTTCTTCGTAGGGATTGTAGAAGTGCTTAATGAGTGGCATGCACACTGTACTAGATCAGAGTAAAAGTATATAGTTGAATACTACAGAAGTCAAGTAATCTCTTGTGGCAGAGATAACAAATTTCTTTTTACAGTATGCAGTTATGAATGGGCCTTCTTCCAATTCAGATGCTCAGCTTACCTCTGATAATTCTGGTTGGCTGGCTGTCCATGTTAGGTGTGTTGAAGTGTGCTCAGGGAGGAATGTAGCAGTGGACTCTTACCCACATGTACTGGTTCCTAATCGCTTCACTGACTTACCCAAGGGACAGAGAACAAGTTGGGAAATACAATGCTATGCATTACACATTTCTGCAAGTATATGGCTCTTAGCAGGTTATAGTCTGGAGAGCCTCATTTAACAGTCAATAGTTTTCCTTAATAAAATCAAGATTTGACTTTTTTATCCTCTTTATAGATATGAATTATGACTTCAACTACCAGCAAGCTCGAGTATTAAAAAAGGAGATGGAAATATTACCAGGTGATTCCTTGATTGTGAACTGTGGATATAACTCCACCAGGAGAAAAATGCCAACATTTGTGAGTATATTTGGTTGACGAGTTTATCTGTTACTTTTTAAGTTTGCTTCTACACCATTTTATTATTATATGCTCTTCATTAATTGAGTTAAAAGTTTTAAATGTTTTTATCTTTGAAAAATCTAGTCACAATCAGATTATTTAACTGGAACTGGTATATTGTACAGTGCAATATAGCAGAAAAACTGCTTTACATTTTTAATATCCAATACAGTTTCATGAAACATATATTTCTAGCCATCACTCTTAGGAGTACTATAGATGTGAAAATTTTATTTTATGTCCTTACCTAGGTCATGAACTGGTTTTCATGGCCACATCAAACCCTGAACAAGTTTACAAAATAAACTAAACCATTTCTTCAAGCTGTTTAATGCCATACTACTATTATACAAGACTGTTAGATGTACAACATAATGATCTTAAATCTGTCTTCTGTAAAAGTGTGTTATTTTCATCATGATTTCAGGGTGGCTTTAGTACAGAGGAGGAGATGTGCTTAGCCTTCCTGACATACTATCCTCGAGTCAACCTCTCTGGCTGCTACTCCAAACCTGACATGGCTCTTGTATTTGACACTTTTGGCATTCAAGACTTGGTTAACAATGATTTGTAAGTGAAGTATATCTGTTAATGTAAGCAAATTAATCATACACCCTGTATGATATTGTTCAAAAGTTTTGTTCTGCTGGTATTCAAGACAAAGTTAACAATGATTATCATTACCAGTACAGTGATATCCCTGTTAGTCGGAATAATTGGTGCAAAGCTCTTCCGGGGATGAGATATTTCTGGGTAATGAGACGACTCTCTCAAACCTGGAAAAAATACCACATCCCACGACTGAATGGGCGAGTTACATCACAAGCATGATAGTCGAGACACATTGTGATTGAACCTGTAGTGTTCCTGTCTTGCAGAGTACCATACGGTAGAACTGTATGCGTTTGATCGCTGACCCTGACCTTGTCTTCCATCTCGCCACATTAAAATATTCTACATTTGTCAAAGGGATGAAAAATATGTGAGGGTCTGTGATTATAGCCTTTCAGGTAGCTTAGCCTTAAGTGTATCTTATGCGGTGATATTTTCAGTGGATGGAAGAACTGGATGTGGTATCATAGTGTTTGTAAAGGACTGGAGTGTGACTGTGTGGTACAGGAAAAATGTCAGGAAATTAAATTACAACAGTGAAACAGGAATTAATATTATAATTTTTTGTGAGGTGCAAATTTTTGTTGTAGGGCTTATAACTCGGCACCAAGCCTTAGAGCTTTTGAACTTTATTCCTGAGGGAGGCATCAGGGGGACCCCTTGATGGGCTTGGGGCCCTAGTCCACCTATGCTTAGGGCTGGCCCTGGTTGAATGTAATACTGTATGTAACTGTAATCACCTTTTACATCTTAAAACTTGAGGTGGGGTGGGGGATTAGAGGTCTCGTGATACTGACCTGACCTGATGCAATGTTAGGTCACCCATTGTCGGGGTGGAGGATTAGTGAGTCTCATGACCTGAATAGGTCTTGAATAGAGACGAAAGCTAAGGTGCTCCAGTGTTCGCAATTGCTGAATGTACAGTACAGTATACGTAACTGTAATCACTTTTTACATCTTAACACTGCTTTAACACTGTATTCTTGGCTGATTGTGTCCTGGTACAATAATGTACGATACTGCACAACACAAATTTTATGCAAAAACAGCTCTTAGTGAGGGAACAACGTTCTACAATGGCAGCAGAATATGAACTAAATGATCCAAGCAGCTGGGTCACCCATGCACCTGGCATGTAGAACGCATTGGAGCATGATGCAATCTCTGGGAACTCCTGGAAAAATTTATTCCCAGGTCCATAATGGAATGGTTTAGAGAGATTTTCTGGGAATTTTTCCGGAAAATACGCCTGAATTTTTATCCTTGAAAACTCTTTTGCAGACCCTGAATGGAGAGAGATTTCCTGGAAATTATCCAGGCTGATTTCAATTCTGGCTATTGGAGAGGTCCTGGGAATGAGTATTCTGGCTAATGGAGACATTACTGTAAAGTGCCAGATTTAGACCTGTGGAGGCCCATGGGCAGCCTTCTTGTGGAGGCCCCCCTCATTATAACTACCCAAGAGGGTGGGGTGGCGAGTGAAGCGAGCCTAAACATTTGGGAGTTTCGGGGGGCGCTGTAAGCCCCCCGGGAAAATTTTGAAATTTGAACACTTCTTTGGAGAATTTTGAAGCCATATGCAGTTATATTGAGGAAATTTGAAAATTGAGAAATTTTTAATTAACTGTATATTTATTGATAGTGTACAAATTCCCAACACACACACACACACACACACAAAAGTGAGACATGACTGGACTCATTCATGTGGTTTCAAGTTGACCAGCCCTGATATAGCTACTACCGCACGTGTGGAGGCCCCCAGATTGTGGAGGCCCCTGGGCAGCTGCCTACTTTGCCCACTCCTGAATCCGGCCCTGTTACTGTACAGGTAGTTATAGCACTGTACTGTATGTATAAAATTATTTGTACCTGTATTACATATACGTACTGTAATCTTTGGGCCCCAGAACTCTCCAATAGAAATAATGAAGTTTGAGTGCCTTCTAGAAAATTCCAGGATAATTTTCTCCATTCCGGGCATGGGAACGAGGACGAAATCATGTGCATTTTCTGAGAACATCTCTCCGTTCTGAGCATGGGAACAAATTTTCTGGGAGTTCCAAGAGATTGCATCATGCTCCAATGCATCCGCATGTTTCCTCACATGCGTGAGTGGGCTAGTTGCTTGTTAAACTGAGGCCATAGGCTCACATGCTTTGTTCATATTATGCTACCTTTGTACAAGTTTGATCCCTCTCTCTCTGCTATTTTTACGTACAATTTGTGTTGTGCAGTACTGTAGCACTGTACTGTACTTAACTATTACCAGGACATAATCAGCCAAAAATAGTGTTAAAGCATTAAGATGAAAAAATTTAGTAGTTACATATACTGTACTGTACATTCATCAGAGTGGACAGTGTATGCCTATTGTAGGCTGAAGACAACAGCATCTGTTGGTGAGTACAATATACAGTACTGTATACAGTACAATGGTACCCTGTAGTATACAATACAGTGATATCCACGTTATTCGGAACAATTTGTGCAGAGCACTTCCGGGAATGAGATATTTCCGGGTAACGAGACGACTCTGTCTTCCCCGGAATTTTCCAGGTTACGGAAAAATGTTCTCGGAAGTTCCAGAAATTGACCATTGCATCATCTCTCAAACCCGTAAAAATATCCCTCGTCCCCGTAATTTTCTGGGTAACGGAAAAATTTTCTTGGAATTTTCAGAAAATGTGCCTGATTTTCATCTCTCAAACCCCCAAAAAACTCCCCCATCCCCAGAATTTTCCAGGTATCGGGTACAGGTATTTTTTCGGAATTTTCCGGAAAATCTGCCCCTCAGAAAATTTCAATTCCGGCTATCGTTGAGTTCCAGGTTTGAGGGATTCTGGCTAAGGGAGATATTACAGTCGACCCTCGTTAATTCGGACCCCTTTAATCCGGATTTCGGATAAATCGGACGAAATCTGAACTGTCCATATCAAATTTCTGATTCTGGGATTGTCCCAGTTGCAATTTCAAAATCTGTGTCATCACTAAGGATTAACAAAGTCTCTGGTGCACTCTAAGATTAAGAGAGAAAACGGAAGACTCAGACGTCCTGAAGCTAGAGAAAACGGACTCCTATGAAGGGGCACTCAAATAAACATACTTATAGCTACATGTTTAGTGGACCCCAAATTTTTTTGCAAAAAGTTGGGGGTCGACCTCTAAACGGGTAATAGTTTCGTTAGGTTGAAAAATATTTTCCTGTAACTACCAGTAAAAATGGAAACGACGCACCACCAGCTGTGAGTGTCGGTACAGTTGCCAGGACAGATCTCTTGCGTCATCATAGCAAGCCCAAAGTAGCCAAATGCATGGTATGGTAGCACAGGACGATGTAAAACAAAGTATTCATTTTTTAAAGTTTATTTATAGATACATAAATTTTTGTTCTTTGCATTTGAAACATCAATCTTTGTTAATTAAATTTGAAACAAAAGAAAACTATGATACTGTATTTCTAAATACCGGGTATTTTCTTTAAAATATTACATCACAAGTATATTTTACCTTAACTGTGACTGAATGAATATATTCTCAGAAATGAATATGGAAATGATGCTATATTTTTGCTGAAATTACGTATGTATTACAGTGGAAAGTGGGATAAAATCATGACGAAAACAATGACTTGCCCTTTCTTTCGTTGTTCAAAAGATTTTACCGTAATCGCTTTTTGAATGTTTTTCAGTTAAAAAACTGTTGTATACAACAATATTCTCTCCTAATGGACCTGAATAAATACTACCTGCATTTCAGTGTAAAGTGTCGTAATAATAAATGGTAAACAATTTGCCTTCAGCACTCGGTGTTTCAGGCACGGCGAGCCTCAGTTTATAGGATGTTGAGTGTTTTTACTGAAGGTTTTGTTGTTCCAATACCCTCAAAAACTTGGGTCGACCTATAAACAAGGAATATCATAAATTAACGATTTTTGGGTAAAAAAATCAGGGTCGACCTATAAACGAGGGAGGGTTATAGACGAGTCCATACCAAATTTATGGTTCTGGGATTGTCCGATAGATGGGTCACGCGGCGGCCTTGTGCACGCGTGAGTCACGCCAGTCATTGTTGACCTAGCGCCATATTCGAGTATCAGTGTTGTGATGCCTTGCAATTTTCGTTGATATTTCAGTGATTAGGCATCTTTCAGCCTTGTATTTTACATCATGTCTTCAAGGGGGAGTAAAACGCCAAAGAGGAAGTATGTGACCCTTTCTGTGAACCAGAAACTGGAACTTATAAGGAAGTTAGAGGCTGGTGCTTCAGTGTCTAGAGTGTGTGATGAGTATGGTGTTAAAAAGCAAACAGTTTCGGACAAACGCAAGGCTAAGGACAAACTCATTGCATTTTCTTTGAAATATAATGTTGATGCAACTTCTAAATCATCATCTGTTGGTGCAAGGAAGCGTATGAGAGTGGCAAAAGATACAAATCTTGAGGAGGCAGTGACGAAGTGGTTTGTGCAGAAATGATCCTGTGGTAATGTCGTCCGTGGTGTAGAAATACAAGCTGCTGCTGTTAAGCTAGCAAGTCATATGGGCATCGAGAATTTCGAAGCTAGTGACGGGTGGTTATGGCGATTTAGAAATCGCCATGGAATGTGTCATCTACCAAAGGTAAATGAAATTAACATATTGTAATGTTTTATATAGCTAGTTATATGATGTTTGCAGTTCAGTATTTCCTGTATTTTTGTCTCTGTGTATCATGTTCAGCGTACAGTGTATATACGGTACTATATTTCCTAACCTAACCTAACCTAAATCGGTTAATTCGGACAATCGGCTAAAACGGACACCCTCCCCCCCCCCCTATTAGTCCGAATTAACGAGGGTCGACTGTACTGTATTTTGTTTATTTATAGGATATTGTACATTTACAGTTGTGTTTGTGTAACTAATTATAGCTCTGTGTCTGTTCATGTGTGATACGTTGTTTAGACTATCGGAAAACTC